GGCCACCCCACCATTAAAAACCTGCTATTGGTTAGACACTGCATTCTTAGAATGAAGCGTATTCGTTTTGTGTGGCTCAGCCATTTAGGCACCTGTGCCTGTGATCCGAGGGTCGCCGGTTCGAGCCCTGCCCTCAAAATAGTCACATTTCTGTTGGGTCCTTGAGCATGCCCCGACCCCCTGCACTCGGACCCCAAACTTCACTCTCAACTGTGTATGTTTCAAAGGAGCGAGCATGATGGGATATATGAAAAAAAGAATTCCAATGTACTTGTGCAAATGGCAAATAAAAGCATCGTGTCATTGTCATTTTTTGTGTCAATGCATGTTTGACATGGAGGTATGCAAAACGTCTGTCGGACACTAGAGCTCCACCTTGAGGTGAAGATGTGTACATTCTTGTCGCTCTGCCTAATTTTGTTTTATACTGGCACATTTTGGCTATTTTAATACTTTATTTTTAAATGCACTTTTACATAAGTTAAAAGACTCTCTTGGCTGTCTCACCAGGGCTCATCTGGTGACTTGAATCCCAACCTAAACCCATGTTTTGCAGCCAGTGTTCATGGGTATTACTGCCGCACACAGACACACATACAGTGCAATTTATAAAGACCCTTCCGCAGGGCTTGCATAAGATATTCTTTCAGCAGTGAAATAAGAACTAGAGAATAGTTGGAGAACTCTTCTGGAGTTTTTTTAAGGATTGGCCAGCACGTCGAAGAAATGCTGAACAGATTCCTCACAGGAATATGATACTTTTGAGGTCTAAAGTCATTTAAATGTGGCTGGGAGAGTTTTTTAGGTTGGGTTTGGAACTTGAGTCTACCAGGGTCAAGCCATTTGTTTTCTGAGTGGATGTTCAGGAAAGCAGCCAACGTTTTAACAGTATCTATGGTTATTTTTTTCACTAAAGAGATTCACAATAAAAAATAAGAAAAAAAAACCCTTTATTGTTTGGCCACCTGCTTGGTTCTGTTGCCCCTGCACTGGCTAATGTCAGTTTTCTTACTGTGAGTAGGGTTTCCTCATGCAGAGTGAGTCGGGACGCATGCAAATCCTGGGAATCTCAGAGAGGAGACGCTGAACAGGCTTCTAATGAAAAGCAGAGATAGAGGAGGGACCTGCACCTTTCTAAACAGCCTTTATGTGTGCCGCTGAATCGTGTAAAATTCATGTGAAACGCTGCCATCTGGAGACGCCGCTGCACCCAAAGGCATATCGACGTTGCTGGTTCAATGACCGAGCAATCCTGCCTTTGTGTTCTAAAGAAATATATACATTTATTCAAAGACTGTATGTGAGTTTGCAAAAATATCACCTTTCTTAGGCACTTCTAAATCCGGCCTTTTTCTGTAGCTGCCTGTCCTGTTCGGTGTGGGGGGGGGGGTATTAATTTTGCAGACATCGTTTGCACACACATGTATAGTGGAGGAATCCCCACAATGACAACATGCAAACTCCACGCACATAGAGCCAAGGCGGAGACTCAAACCGTGGTCCCAGAGGAATAACGTTAGAGTGCGAGCCACTGCACCCCAGTGCCACACTCATACTGGTGTGGGGTTTCCCGCATGGGAATGTCCCCCAACGCATGATCCAACACCAACACCGCAGTGAGGCAGGTGCTGACCTCGCATCTTCATTCGCTTTTCTGTGTGGCTATCAAGTAAACACTGGATTTTAGCTCACAGTCATAACGGACGTGTTGGACAGCCGACGAGAGGTTTAGGGTCGGGAAGATTCCCCTTCCACACAAAAAAAAAAACAAAAAAAAAAACAAACAAAGAAATTAGAAACCGACCGGATGTGTCTGTTGTCTTACGTGAGATCTGTAACTTCAATTATACATCCCCCCAACAGCTTCAATTATGCATCTGAACACAAGGATCAATAACAGACACACGGCTGTCGGTGGCTCCATTCCTCAAGCAGAAGTCGAAAAAAAAAACCTGCTAAACACAGTGAAGGAATAAATCAAGTTAGCAGGCAGGGCTGTAGGCCCGATCGAAGTTCTAATTCAAAACATTCTCCCCACATTCTATAATGTGTAATGAATCAAAAATGATTGGAAAGGCACACCTGTGGATATCAGATGGAAATAATTGGTGAGCAATCAAAATACAAGGTATATTAATATATTAATGTATAATTTCTCTAGAATGAAAAAAAGACACTTTTTTTTCAGTAATCAAGATTCCTTGCACTGCACAGTACAGCACTGGGCCAACAACGCTGCAACTGGTCTGATGGCATTTTTGTGTATTTAAGAAGCAGGTGTTGAGAATGTGGTGTTGGGAACGTCGTGTTGGGAATGCTTCCTCACTTGTGAGGTTCAGCTATAATAAAAATAAAGCGTTAAACCCGCACTGGATAAAGACACCATATAATAATATTACAATAAAAATGAATCCCTACATCAGCAGAATGAGATAGAGTAGAGTAACAATATGACGGAATGTAATATAAAAAAAAAACAAAATGTTACATGTTATATGTTATATGTTCGCGTATTTCCGAGGATTCTAGCTTGTGGCTGTTCAGTTCTGTTCTTTGAAGTCCAGGCTACTGCAGCAGGTAGCAAAATGTGATGTGATGTCACTCCCCCCCCCCCATCCCCCCCACCCCCCCCCCCCCCAAAATAAAGAATGTCATCAACAACAGTAGTAGCCATAGGGTGTTTTTTTTTCACCACAGAGGAATGATATTATATCATTGCACCGCTCAACATTTCAGCATGTGAGAGCAGCAGCTTGGTCAGCGTCTGGCCTGTCCGCCATTCGGCCGCGTCTCTCAGCATCGTCGTGCAAAGGGAATCTGACGGACAATCAGCCGTATCATAAGGGCGACATTAAACACAGCTCAGAGCAGGATCTAGGACTCTATCCTGAAATAAATGCTTAATCCCTTGAGCTCACGAGTTGCATACCTGGAACGCGACAGAAAACGTTCTTCAATGAAGAATCCGTCCTCTTCATCTATTTCTGAATCCTTGCTTTCAGGTAGCCAGTGATATGTGTGTCAGTATTTTTTCAGTTCTAGGTGTGACAGCAAGTCTGCGTCCCTAATCCTTACCGTATGCAGGTGGAAGTGTAACAAGGTCCAATCTCTGTGCCCCTGATGAGCAGGGTTACTGCCTTCACACATGAAGGGGCAATCTAGAGGCACCAGTCATCCTGCCTTAGGACTGTGGCTGGAAGCCAGAGTACCTGGAGGAAACTTGTGCAGATACGAGTAGAACGTGCATAGTCCACACATAGGGGGGTCGCCATCCAAAAGCCTAACCGTGGAGGTCTGTGATACCAAGACCACCCACAGATCCACATTTATTATCATTATCATTACTGTATTAGTAGTTGTCATAGTAGTAGTAGTACTTATGTATGTATTTGTGTGTTTGTTTCATCATGTATTTGTTTGTTTATTATTGACATTATAAGTATTATTATTTGTAATAGTATTTGTTTGTTTATTATCGCCAGATTCTGGAGTTCTGTTGTGTCTACGGTTTTTTAACCATGCCTCTCTTCCACATTGACCTGAGGTAGCCACAGTCACACGCCAGTCACATACCGATGGGCGGAATGCAGGGCGTCACACTTCACGATGATCATTTCCCACTAACTGTCTGCCATTCAGAATTGGCTGGAAATCGCCGTACCCCTGAACCACAGGGCTAATCAGTACTGAACCGAAATTGTTCTTGAGATCCTGTGTACTTTTAGAAAGGGACATTTCTGCAATGGCCATGAAAGCCACAAGCCAATGAACATCCATCTGGTTCGGGGCCACATGGATAAAGGAGCCAATCCTCAGAAGCTTAGGGTGAGCACAAGACAGGATAGGACACACCCTCACACACACACACACACACACACACACACACACCCTCACACACACACACACACACACACACACACCCTCACACTAACACACACACACACCCTCACACTAACACACATACACACACACCCTCACACACACCCTCACACTAACAGACACACCCTCACACTAACACACACACCCTCACACTAAGACACACACCCTAACACTCACACACACACACATTCACACACACACACACACCCTCACACACACACACACACCCTCACACTAACACACATACACACACACCCTCACACACACCCTCACACTAACACACATACACACACACCCTCACACACACCCTCACACTAACACACATACACACACACCCTCA